CTCTGTTTTTTTTCTACAAATATTTTCATGACAACAACTCTAATGAGCTTTTTCCCTGGTACCTCAACTACATGAATTTAAACATGCTACTAGATTGGCATATAGGTCCCGCCCTTTTACTGTTGAAACAGTTAAATGCAATTGGTACTTCTACTCCAACAGTTTCTTTTCTTGCACTTCCCACCTGTGGAACTCCCTTCTATTTAATTGTTTCCCTGATAACTACAATCTTCAAAAATTTAAATGCAATGCCAATCACCATCTTCTGTTTTCTTGAATCTCATTCATCCTTTGTCCTTTCATTAATTCTTCCTATTCTCAGTCTTCTCTTTCACTTTCACTCCCTGTGCCCCCCTGTGTGTGCTAGTGGCATACCTGCCTTTGCTTGGGGGTGAAATGATTAAAACAAAAAGAAATTGTGAACATGTATTTATTAATAATAATAAAAAAAAAAACACATATTTTAAAAGAAAGATTAATTTTATCAAAGATGGAATGTGGTAATTCTGGAATAGAATCTTTCAATGTATATCATATCATAAAAGTGTGTAAATAAAACTCATGTCTCAACTATTTATTTGTTTTTCCTTCAATAGGAGTAAATATATAGGTTCGCATATCGTCCTGTTCACACTTCTCCTCAGTCTTTTGAATAGGAGTAGAGATTTATTCCTTGTTTCCTGTTTAGGATTGTCTTTACAGTTCCTTTTAAAGTCTTTTCATTCTCTTTTACTGACTGTACCACCTTGTGACTTAGAGGCATTATTTAAATGCAACGTCATTCGCTTTCTTCCGTCTTCTTGAACCCTGTTCATCTTTTGTCATTTTTTTTTTCAATCCTCCCTAGACTAAGCCTTGTTATTCGCTTTCGCTTTCATTGCCTGTAAATCTCTGCGTACTAGTGGCATTGCTTGGAGTGAAATGATTAAATATAAAGACAGGGTGTCATTGTAACAGACAAACGGAACTGGCATAAATGTCAACAAAGCGACATTTTCATGTTTTTATAGAGAAACTTCCCTGCCCACCATCAACATGGCTGATGCTCGACTCCAGGAGAGCGTCTCACTTTGCCTTCTTGGCTTTACATTTTCAACTGACACGAAGTGGAACAACTACACTGAATCAATAGCTGCATCTACTGCAAGGAAAGTTGGTTCACTGTGTCGTGCCAAAAGATTTTTCTTGTCAGAGGCCATCTTTCACATCTACAAATCTACCATTTGTCCGTGCATTGAGTACTATTGCCATATCTGGTCTGGTGCCCCAGCTGTTCATCTCGAGGTTCTTGACAAAATCCAAAGAAGGATCTGCAATGTAATCGACCCTGTCATGGCATCTCGACTCCAGTCACTTTCTCACAAATGTGATGTGGCTTCCCTCTGTCTTTTCTAGCCATATTTTCATAACAACTGCTCTTACGGGTTTTTTCCCCTGTGCACTGATCACATGAATTTAAGCGTGCTAATAGACTGTCATCTAGGTCGTTCGCTTTTACTATTGAAATAGTTAAATGTAACCTCCACTTCTACTCCGACAGTTTATTTTCTCGCCCTTCCCAACAGTGGAACTCCCTTCCGTTTACTTGCTTCCCTGAAAACTACAATCTTCAAAAATTTAAATGCAACGTCAATTTTCATCTTCTGTCGTCTTGAATCCGTTAATCTTTATCCTTTTCTTAATCCCTCTCTATAACCCAGTCTTTTCTCTCACTCTCTGTATCCCCCACCCCGCGTACTGGTGGTACTCCCGGCTTGCTTGGCATGAAATGTTTAAAAAAAAATAAGAAAAATGAAGAAAAAAAAAAAAACAATTGACTGATTATCGAAGGAGAGAATATTCACCAGGAATCATGTGTGAGTGATACCCGCGCACCCGTGCGAGTGAGTCATTCATTTAGGGGGAAAATATCTCCATGCTGGAAACAGGTTTCGTGTTGGCATTGTTTCTATCGCGTGCTAACGAGAAAAGAGAAAGAAAGTGTCCCATTTTTATGGCTTCCACCTAACTGCGTCTTGGCGAATTTGGCAAAGTCAAGTGGGGGCAATCCACAAACGGCTACACATTGTTTTGTTTTTTTCCTTCACTAAGAGATGTCAATGTTTTTACTTCACTGGAAATCCTAATTTTGAAGCTCTCCTTATCACTTCTTTGTATACAAAGAAAAGACGTGAACGCCCAAACAATGTTAGATATGTTAATGATTCTTCACAAATTGTTTGACAATTTACCATGCTATATAAAATAATATACAAAGGTGAGATACGAGTTAAAATACATTTATGTTACGGATATAAATATCTGCTAATGAATTCAATAGATGTATCTGGCCACCATGAGTGGCGTATCCTTGAAACTTGAAGTTGAAAAACAAGTTTTTGAAAACGTTTTTTATATCTGAACTATTACTGCTCTATTTATTTATTTTTTTTTTACACTTATTGAATACAGTAAAAAAAATGCATATTTTGCTTGTGGTGATTCATAATTAAAATTCTGGTTTGAATATATCTTCCATTCGATGTATCTACTACGAAAAAAATCAACTTTATTTGGATTTGAAATAGTAAAATTTTGAAGCCATTTTGTAAGTGAAAATCTGGAAATAAGGTATTTCTATACGTTTTTTGTAGACGATCTTCAAAACAAAATGCTCAAAAACATCTTAAAGCTATTAATCTAATTTTTGGCGTCAGTACTTATCACGTTACACCCCATATTTTAAATTGTGTGCAATGTTGATTTTTTTAAAGAAAGTGAAAATCAACCTTCACTACTCTTACAATAGGGAAGACATCTTTAGTCCAGTAAAATTGGAAGCCATATTGTCCGCTCTTTCTCAGAGCTGTTCGTACAGATTGAGCTTTCATGTTGAACATTTTTATACTGCTTTGAAAAATGGTTTGTACTGTAACATGTGGATGTGGGGATGGTGTAATGGATAGTGGCTCGAAATGAGAAATCGGAACTTATTTAATTAATGCAGATAGATTTAATTTTTGGCACAAGGTCAAAGGGAAAGATTAGGAAAGGCTGGTCAACACATTCTATCCTACATCAAGGTAAATTTGACTAATGACCCGTTCACTCTAACAATTTCCTCAATCACTACAAGAAGCCATATTTCTCCATACAATTCAACGTGTACCACAATATTACATCATAGCAGAAATCGTAATAATAAAACAACCATGATGTTAAAAATTTCTACATATGAGAAATCAGAGAGACGAGTTTGTTACATTTATTAAATTGGAGTAATGGATAGCGGCTCGGATTGAGGAATCGGAGAGCCGAGTTCGAATTCCAGTCGAATCCGTTACATTCACTTACGTGCTAATACCCTTGGGAAAGATTTGAATCGTCTTCTTCTCCCTCCAGCTATCGGTAAATAGCAGGACAGACTGGGTTCTATAGCCTTGAATGGCAACTGGACTACTGCAGAAAGAAATGGCAACCTACTGTGGGAAAAATACTGGCTGTCGAAAGATACATGATCGCCTAAACGTGTATCAGGCATAGCATAAAGAAAGTTTACAGATGTTTTTTTTTATGAATGAAAACCTCGGTATGGGGTGTAAACGAGGCCTCTCTCTCTATATATATATATATATATATATATATATATATATATATATATATATAAAGGCTTAAACACTAATATTCCATGGTCATAATTTATTCCATTGGAATCGTAAATACGATCCAATTCATCAGACCTACAAATTCAAAAAGAAAACAGAAAAAAAACCAACTCTGGAAATAAAAACAGAATTTAGAGAATATTTTGCATATGTATGTATATTTTCCACTAATATTATCTATCTATCTATCTATCTATCTATCTATATATATATATATATATATATATATATATATATCCCTTAAACTAGTTATCTGAAAAATATATTGTGGACTACGATAAAAATATGAGATAGATATTTTTTTTTCATCATTTCATTCCAAGCAAGGCAATAAAGCCACTAATACGCAAGCTATTATGGAGTACAAGAGGATACGAGAAGAAATACTAGTAAGGAGAGAAATCAATAAAAGAACAAAAAGGCCAGAAAGGAACGATTGACATTACAATTTAATTTTTGAAGATCGAAGTTGACAGGAGAGCACGAAATCTGAAGAGTGTTCCACAAACGAGAAGCGCGAGAGAAGAAACTGTTAGCATAGAACTTACGGTTACATCTAGTCATTCCAGCTGTAAAATGACGAGACCTTGCCGCCAATCTAGTACTGCGTTTAAATTCATAAAATCAAGGGATCATAGAGGAAAGTGAATAATTGTATACAATCATTTTTATGCGAGTTTTCCGTGACTTAAAAACTATTTAAAGTGTTCCACAAGGGTAAAAATGTTGAGAAACGTGAAGGCTATTTAAAAAGGCGCGAAATTTGTTAGTAGACGGCTAATCGTGTGGAAAAAAAAAATTATCGGCTGACTCACCTTTCTCTTGTTTTGGTATTGATAAAAGGGTTGCTTTGAATATCGCTGTCACATCTGGTCTGGTGCTCTCTGCTATAAATTTAGAGATTCTTGAGAAAATCCAAAGAAACATCTACTATGTTATTGGTCCTGACCTGGCATCTCGGCTTTAGTTCCTTTCCCACCGCCGTAACGTAACTTCCATGTGCCTTTTCTATAAATATTTTCATGGTAATTGTTCTGATAAACTTTCCACTGTTGTACCTAGACTTTATGTATTTGAACGCAGTACTAGATTGGCAGTAAGGTCTCATCATTTTACAGTTGAAATGGCGAGATGTAACTATAAAGGCAATGTTGATTTTCTAAAAAAAAAAAAAAAAAAAAAGAAAATTGAAAAAGAAAATCAGCCTACCCCTCTCTACACGTGTCGTTTCAAATTGGTGTTCGTATTTTCAATTTTTCTTTCAGATTATGAAATACTGAGTGTTTCTCCGGACACCATCCCCTTTCAATTGTTTTTCTGTTGCTTTTATAATCTTTTGACTGATTCCCTTTACAGGACAAGAAAAATACCGAAGTTTGACTTCCTCCTATTACTTAGATTCGCATGGTTGCTTGATCGTCTTTGATTTAACCAAGGAGAACACTTTTCACAGCGTCTTCAGATGGTAATTTTTATATATTATTATTATTACTAATATTCGCCCAATACTAGACTCAAGAGCAACTCAAGGTAGAAGATTACTCAATGAAGTATCAACGTAAGAGAAGGAAGTAGGAAGTGAAGGATATGTAGGATAGATAACGACTCTAGACATTAACGTCCTGGGCATGACGATAAACTACATCCGGCAGCAAGGCCTGTGATCTGGAGATTGGTTTTAAGGAGCGTGGATCCATCTCTTAATTGTTGTTGTTACCAGGTCCACTCCGATCCGAGGTGGTAGCACCTGTTAGGGTCCTAGCTATGGACAAATAGTGAACCTCCATCAAAATAAAAACAAAATACTATGAAAGTATAGGATGTTTTAAACTTGGACCGATTTTAAATGTGAATTAAGTTTAAGCATCAACTGATTTTTTTTCTTTTTCTTTCAGATTTAACAACTTTAAACTTTGGCAATTTCAACCCTGGAAAGATTAACAATCAAACAGCGTGTTAGAGTTATCGTTGCTTATTACGAAAATGGTCATTGAAACAGAAATGCGCTTCGCGATTTTTTGGGGTCAACATAATCGAGACACCGAGAATACAAATGGAAAACGATGTAATGTTTTTGTGGAGAGGTTTAGTTCCTGTGCGCGATGACGAATAGAGGGGTCTGGATTTTTAGCCACATTCTCGTGACCTGCAACAATGTTTTCAGCTGAAAAGCGTAAACGATCATGCAATGGCGTTTTCACATCTGCTATCGACCCGGTTTGTTTGAACTTAGGAACAATTTTTCCAATTGCACTCTTGAAACTTTAATACGTTGTTTGATTGTTAATCTTTTCATAGTTGAAATTGTCAAAGTCTTAAGTTGTTAAATCTGAAAGAAAAAAGAAAAAAAAATCATTACACGCTTAAACTTAAGTCACATTTAAAATCGGTCCAACTTATTGGAACACTCTTTATAACAATAAATTTTTATGGTAAAAATCCCACCAGTACATTTATATATATATATGTATATATATATAAATACCGACAATACGTATTTATAGCAGAATTACCAACGATGTATTTTATCTGTAGTTGAAGGCATACAAATACATTCAAAATATATTTTGTTGAAGCCATAAAATTCTGTTCTAATATTTAGATTTTGGCATTAAATAACCTATAGAATTATTGATATGTTGCTAAACAAAAATCGGCCAAAATTAATTGACTTTAATTTTGAGTCCATCGGAAGTCGAAATGCGCGCCGATGAAGAAAACTTTTTCTTCTAATCTTTATTCATATTGGCTTCTTACATATATATTCTTTTTTTTTATTTATACCGGCATTTCTTTTTACATATATAGCCTTTATTTTTTATTTATACCGGCATTTTTTACATATTTATTTATTTTTTTTATTTATACCGGCATTTTTTACTTATATATTCTTTTTTGTATTTATACTGGCATTTTTTTACATATATATTCTTTTTTTTTTCATTTATTCTAACCTGGCTGTGCGTCTTGAAATAGACCTCCAATCGGTTTTTAAGTGGGGCAAGAATTGGCTGGTCAACTTTAACGCCTCAAAAACTAAAATACTCTCTATTAATCACCATAGAGATCCTTCCCTGTCCCACATTAGAATGTCTGATAGTCAACTTCTTGAGAGCAACTCCCTGCGTCTGCTCGGTCTCACGTTGACTGCTGACCTGAGATGGAACAAATACATTGAGTCAATTGCTTCGTCCACCGCGAGGAAAGTTGGCTCTCTGTGCCGTGCCAGGAAATTTTTCTCCCCAGAATCGATACTTCAAATATACAAATCAACCATTCGCCCTTGCATGGAGTATTGCTGTCATATATGATCTGGGGCACCTTCTGTTTACCTCGGAGTTCTTGACAAGATCCAGAGACCATTATGTAATATAATTGGCCCTGATCTGGCATCTCGTCTACAGTCACTCTCTCACAGACGCGCCGTCGCCTCCCTCTGTCTTTTTTTACAAATAATTTCATGGTAACTGCTCCGATGAGCTGCTTTCACTGGTTCCCAGACTCCATGAATTCAAGCGCCCTACGAGGCTGACATCCCGCTCCCACCCTTACACTGTAGAAACTTTTAATTGTAGCCATCTCTTCGACTCCAATAGCTTCATACTTCGAACCTCTCGCCTGTGGAACACCCGTCCCAATTACTGTTTCCCTGAGAGCTATAATCTCCAACTATTCAAATGTAATGTCAATCGACATCTCCAGTTACCTTGATCTACCCACTATCCCTCTCCTCATCCTTTCCCCTATCACTCCTATCTGATCTTGCTCCAAATCTTCTGCAACCCCCTGCATCCTAGTGGCTTCACGCCTTGCTCGGGGCGTAATGCTTAAAAAAAAAATACCGGTATTTTTTACATATATATTCTTTTTTTTATTATTTATACCGGCATTTTTTACATATATATTCTTTTTTTTTTTTTTTTATTTATAACGACATTTTTTACATATATATTCTTTTTTTTATTATTCATACCGGCATTTTTTTCATATATATTCTTTTTTATTTATTTATACCGTCATTTTTTACATATATATTGTTTTTTTTTTTTTTTTTTTTTTATACCGGCATTTATATATATATATATATATATATATATATATATTATATTTTTTTTCATTTATACTGGCATTTTTTACATATATATTCTTTTTTTTTTTTTCTTTTATACCGGCATTTTTTACATATATATTCTTTTTTTTTTTTATTTATACCGGCATTTTTTACATATATATTCTTTTTTCTTCTCCAAAGGTCTCAAGATTTACACGAATATGCTCCGAACTGGGTTCGTGCCATCCTCGTCGGAACTAACTGTCTTTCCAGAAAGCGGAAAGTTTCCAAGGAAAGAGCCGAAAATCTCGCTAGCAGTATTGGCCTGAACTACGTGGAGGTCAGCATTCAAGACAACTTTAATATTACCGAGCCGTTCGACAAATTAATTGGCACGATCATTGAATATTTAGAAATGAAATCTATGCTGTATCAATTGGATGAAAAAAGAACAATTACAAAGGGCTTTTGCGTCATATCCTGAATAGATCTCCATCTATCCAGATATTCGGATCGGTTGGAAGCTTCAATAGTATTTGAAAAAAAACAACAAAAAACAAAAAACAAAAAAAACAGAAAAGATTATAAATCTGCTATTTTCCCCGTTTGTTAGCGTAAATATGGAACGAGACACTAGTCCAGCTTTCCACTAAGAGGCCAATGACTACCCCACATTGCGTCTTCATTCTCATTTACCGAAAGCTGGGAAAAAGCCTGCTGCACGTTCACAAGAAAACAGTAAGTAAAAACGACTGCCAAGGCGAAGAATGAGAACTCGATCCCTGTTTCTAATATACATAGATGTTTTATTCGGGGAATCGCTTGTTCGGTCAGGGTGGGTAGGTAGGTGATACTTGGGTAAACTCCTGCTATGTCGGACTAACAACATCATATCTCCCCTTTTGCTAACTCTCTGCCCTGCTCGACATAACGGTGTGCGTCAAGCAATACGAACCGGCGGCATAGGAACTTCACGAGAGGCAGCCTGTCCTCTGCAAAGTGCAAACCAGAACTAACTTCCTCGATCCGTTAATATAGACATGTAACCGGAAATTATCACGGTTTGGTTTGTTGTCACTTGATCCCAAATGCTTTCTTTTATCGAGTGTTCTTTTGTTACTCTTCGATGAAGTTGGTGCCATTTAGATGAACTGACTTCAACTGCCGCCGTCTCATCACCTCCACCAAAAAGAAAAACAATTGAGATAAAATCAAACCACGCCCTTCTATGTGTATGTCCTAATTATCGTGTCACAAGTTAACTACGTGATTTATGCCCTGTCATTGCCTCAGATAAATAATGGACCATTTTGTTTTGATTGGCATGAAATGCAAAAGAAAAATATAGTCAAGAGATGCTGTTTTGTTTTAGTGAGAAAACGAAAATATACATGAGAGAGAGAGAGAGAGAAAGGAAGAGGGAAAAGGAGCGAGAAAGAGAGAGAGAGAGAGAGGGGAAGAAAGAGAGAGATAGAGGATAAGAGAAATAGAGGGGGAGAGAGATAAAGGAAGAAAGAGATAGAGGAAGAGAGAAAGAGAGTGAGGAAGAAAGATAGAGATAGTGAGAGAAATGGAAGAAGAGAGAGAAAGGGAGAAAAGACATAGACGCCAATAACGCTCTCAGGTGTTTTACGTCAGCTTCAGACAAACGGAAAACTTTGTCAATTTTGACTCTTTTCATTTGTACCCTTTAACCTTGTTTTTAATCATTTCACCCCAAGCAAAGCAAGAAAGCCACTAAGACACAAGAGGTTACTGAGTATGAAAGAAAATGAGAAAAAAAAAACACTGCTAAAGAGAGAAGACAATAAAAGAACAGGAATTAAGGAGATAAAAGATGACGATCGACATTGCATTTACATTTTTGAAAATCAAACTTGGCTGGAAAGGATAGAACCGGAAGAGATTTCTACAAGCGAGAAAAGAAACTGCTGGCATAGAACTGACGGCTACATCTCGCCATTTCAACTATAAAATGATGCGACCTTGCTGCCAATCTAGTACTGCACTTATATTCTTAAAGCCTAGGTACCATAGAGGAACGTTTATCAGAACGATTAACATGAAATCATAGAAAAGGCTCAGGGAAGCTACGTTACGGCGGTGAGAAAGCGATTGTAGCCTAGATGGCAGGCCAGCAACGATAACATTGCAGATTCTTCTCGCGCGCATCTCGTTTGTAGATTCTTGCTTATGCGACAATTTTGAAATCGCTATATTTTCGTATACAGTGTAACCCGTATATAAGAGAGTTGTCGGGACCGGAGAAGAAGTCTCTTATATCCGGGTTTCTCTTATATCCGGGTTTGGTCTATTTTATATACATTAACACAGGCTATAATTTGGGACCAGAGAAAATCTCTCTTATATCCGGGTTTCTCTTATATCCGGGTCTCTTATACCCGGGTTACACTGTAGTAGATTTTGTGCACTTTTGGGAGAATCGGCTCCCAGAAATCTCCCCAAAGCTCATTCACTGATTGGTCAGTGTCGACCAATCGGATTTTCTGCACGTGAAGAGTGATTCTTCCCGCGCAGCACTTCTGATCCAATGATCATCTATAAAAGCAAGAAAAAAGAGTAGACAAACCAGTGAGATTTCAGCTGCCACAGAAATCCACGACAGTTGAAGCTATGCGCCGATCTTCTCACTCAACACTCACAAACTGCATATTCCTTTACACTTACATAACTTTTCCTCTTGCACAGCAAAACTGTGAAAAAAACATTTATAACAAACTATTAACTCTTTCTTTTCAGAGAACTTTGATAGACAATGATTGTCAAAGAGAGACAACTCTCGTCTTACTCATTGCATGCTTTTTCTTACACATTCTGTATAGTATATATTGTTCAATACAATTTTTATATACAAGATACCTTTGCCTTGTCCCTTTCTTCACATCAGTTTGGTTTCCTAATCAAAATTAAATAAATGTGCTGCAAGTCCGCCACAAGGTCAATGAAAACTCTAAATTCAAAATTCCGTTGCTTTCTGACCATATCCAAACGCTAAAAAGACTATGGAAATAAACCCAGACAGTTGTCTGTCAACATTAGACTTTTACGTCATCTGTTGTGAAACTAGTCACAAACATAACGATCCGTATTCTCGTGAATTTCCATACACCATCGTCTATTCTCTCCCCTGAAGAAGTCGTCGCAGTTTCACTATCCAATCGATCAAGACACAGAGACAATACAATATTATTATAAAGTAGCCTAGAATCCGCTTCGGACTTTTAACTTCAGCCTTCTATGTACGTAAAAGAATTTAGAAATAATAAAAGGATTTTATCCTTATTCGACATCATAATTCGGCATAATCTTTCTTCGTATACGCAACCGATCTCCGTAGCTTGTTTACATTTATTTTGCGTGAAATTTTTCGTTTCTTTTAAAATCACCATTTTTTATGATCCCTTCACGTAAAGTCACTCTTCACGTAAAGTCATTAAGGAACCCGGTTATATGTAATATTTCGAATACGTTACAGTACGCGTGCAAGAAAAAGAAAATATACGAGCAACGTACCGTGTCCGACTTAAGTTTTAATTATGGTTTAATTAGAAAATATCATTTCCAAGGAAAAGCGAAATTAAATTTAAATCTTTTAATAAAGAATTGTTTTTTTTTTTTTAAACTTTCACTGTTTGATATTGATATGTCCCGGAAAGGGATATATTTGTTCGAAGTAGCAAAGTGGTTTTGGACTATTGTAACCGAGTAGGCCAATCTAGCAGGTAACCGTAATGGACTGGTCCTCGTCGTAGTGGTAGGCAATAGGCGAAGACTATAGGCGTAGCCAATAGTCCTGTACCTCCACATCAGTCTGTATTTATGGCTGACACCAGCCAATCATATTACTGTGAGGGGGAACCCAGGTGTATGCATATTCATTACATCAGATATTTAACTTTTAATGAATTATTTAATTTTTAATCGCGTGTAACTACAGTAGTTACTACGTGTTGTGGCGTCATTTAAGTGTCTCAAATTACAGGAGTGGGTAAGAACAGAAGATGAAATCTTTAACTGTTTGTTTTGACGTCCAAATTCGTTAACGTGTAGACTTTAAAATCTCCCCTCCTCATTCATGCTCCGTTTTTATAGCGAAGGCAGATACCATTTCTTGACAAGGGAAGTAACCGTGGATTACTCCACATCTCCCACTTTTTTTTTAAAGTCCTTTCAATATGAAAGTCTATAAGGAGGTCGAACCTTGCGACCGTATCTGGTGTAAATTGACAGGCTGGTGCCAATGGCAATCGTAGTTTCAATTTCAGGTATTTGGGTTTAATGTTGATCTCTTGACAATTCAGCTGGACTAGGTTTCTCAGAATAACCCACAACCGAAACAGGTCTTGATTGATGCTGTAGTGTATTGGAAGTTTATGGGTTGATTAATTTTGTTGATGATGGCTGTTCAGTCCTTTGCCTTAGGTGAAAGGTGTTTTGTCGTTGAATTCCACTGTCTTAATTAGAATAGGCTTTGATGAAGCAGGTTTTACGACTGCTGGTGAAGTTTTTGGTGTTTTTTCTAAACGTTGTAACACTTCTTGGATTTTTTTCTTCCCATGAAGATGCAAGCGTCGAGGAGTTGCTGTGTCGCGCAGACACTTTTAAACACATATATTCCGGTGTCTACCAATGCTTGTGAAAAGAATTGTGGTCTTCGTTTTTTTGTTTTTTTTATAGAATATACCCTCCTCATTAGATTAAAAGCTTATATTGCTGGTGTGCTCCCAGTAATGGTTCCCTCCAATTTTCAATAACGAACAAATCCTGTCTAAAAGTCTTTATGGTATATAGAGATGAAGTAAAGGCCAAATTTACTGTCTATAGAACCATTTATTGTTGACTCCATTTGGTTACAGTGTTTAAAATGGTTGACTATCGTCATAGTTCTTTTTTTGTGATTTGAGAGTTCATACATGGGGTCGTTGCGTTCCTTCGAGTTGAGGAAAATTAATTCGTTGCATTCATCCTTTCTTCTTGTTTCTCTTCTGGAGTTGTACGTCAGGTCAATCTCACAGCCGATCAATCACCAACCCTTGCGTCTCGAACTGCTACCTTGAATCCAGTTTCTCTCCACTGCGGCGTATCTAGCCTCGAACGTGGTTTTCTTCTTTTTATTGGGGCTGACACATCCGTGTTTCCCGTTTGATTTTTGGCGGGACGTGTTGTCATTGTTTGATTTTTTTTATGACGTTCACTGACCCACATAAACTAAGTTCGGGTTCATGTCCGTGTTTTTTTTTTTTGTTTTTTTTTTAAGCGTTTCACCCCAAGCAAGGCGTGAAGCCACTAGGACGCAAGGGGTTACAGAAAATTTAGAGC